ATCTATAGCTACGCCGTACACTTGCGGATAGCAAAAATAATTAGCGAACAGTACCCGAGCCTTCGGGTCATATTTTACACTACATTACACGCTTGTTGTTAATGATAATTCATTCTTCATAAATGAGTTTTAAATTAGTAAGGTTAACGGATTTTTAGAAAAGAAATGTTTTATGTAGCATCCCGAGATATGTTTTCGCAAACTGACACGTATTTTAGAAAAGAAATTGCGAAAATCGCACTCTGATTTTAGTAAGCTAGCGGGGTGTTACAAATTGGTATCAGAGCACGTTTTTGTGTATCTGAATATTTTATTAAGTCAGAAAGCTTTCAGAAAGACCCGACCACGCTACGCTCACGCCTCGCCGACTAGCAGGTAAGTGCTGAGTTACAGTTTATCTATATATATATATATATATCTAAACGAATACTTAAGTCTATGCTCAGTAGAGGGTATCAGATATATGATCCTAGAACCCAGTAAGATGCTCAAATCACGATAACATATTTTCAGAACATAGTCGTTTATCCCAGTTATATGATATTTCGACTCTAGTATTTTCGGGTCAATTAGCGACTCGTCAAGAAATTTGTATGTCATACCAGTTAGTCAGATAATTTCTTATGCTATTTAATCATGTTATATCTTTCAATATTCAAATGCCTCCTCGTAGAGATCCAGACCACCAGGAACTCCCACAGGCCACAGTAGTCGCCCATTTCCGCGACTACCACCCAGAAAAGTTTTCTGGCCAAGGAGATCCGCGTATAGTTGACGAATTGGTTCAGGGCCTCGAGATGATTTTCGAGGTCATGGACTGTCCTGAGCGTTATCGCGTTTTGTGTGCTCAAATCCAGCTGACCGGTGATGCCCGACTCTGGTGGAATGCCTATTCGAGTATGCGTCCCGGCGAAAAAGAAGGTTGTACGTAGAACCAATTCAAGGATCTGATCCGCGGGAAGTACTACCCCTCGTACTACCGAGCAGAAATGGAGCGCCAGTTCTTGGCACTCAGACAGGGTACTCGTTCTGTTGACGAGTACGAGAGAGAGTTTACCCATCTCGGAGCCTTTGTACCCGACCTTGTGAGTACAGAGGTGAAGAGAGCCCATCGTTTCACTGACGAACTTCTCCCAGCAGTCCGCCATAACATAGTAGGTCATGGCGTCCAGACCTACGCGCGCACCGTTGCCATTGCCCAAGAAGTAGATGCCAGTATCCGACGAGAAGCCATTCCGACTCCAGCCCAGCCCGTTGCTCAGCCACCAGTCCAGCCCAACGTTGCTCAACCATAAAAAAATAAGAACAAAAGAAAGTTCAAAGGAGGTCCAAATGATCAAAGGACTCGCCCCAGACAGACAACACCCTGCCCGACATGTGGGAAGCGCCACCGTGGAGAATACCTTGTGGGCCAGAACATCTGTTTCTTTTGTCGCCAGCCAGGCCATATCAGCCCCAACTGTCCAGAGCGTTTGCAACAACAACCGCAACAACGTCAACCACCTCAACAACAGCAGCCCAGGCCACAGCCACCGCGACCCCAGCAACAGCCACGCGACAGACAGCAGGCCCGCGTCTTTGCAGTTGACCAGGGAGAGGCCGACCAGCACCCAGGTACCATATTGGGGATGATTATTCTTAATGATGTGCCTGTTTCTGCCTTGTTTGACACCGGAGCGACCCATTCTTTTATATCACGCCGATGTCTCGAAGCTATCGAAGTTCATTCTCTTACCACTGTCGATCCTCTCGAGGTGAGTTTAGCCTCAGGACGAAAGATAGTGACTGACGTTAGAGCCACCGATCTCAGCCTCTCCATCAGCGGCCGTATTCTGACTACCGATGCTTATGTTATCGAGATGAGGGACTTTGACCTCATACTCGGTATGGATTGGCTAACACGTTTTCATGCAGATATCCGATGTCACGACCGGGAGATTACTCTTTATCTTCTAGGAGACGATCAGATCACTTATTACGGCTCCAGGACTTGTACTCTGCCCCATGTTATTTCTATGGCGAAAGCCAGGAAGATTCTTCGACGGGGTGATTGCCAGGGTTACCTTGTGAGCCTCGTTGAAGATGAACCAAAGTCACGTTCACCTCACAACATCCCTATTGTTCGTGAGTTCGTGGACGTGTTCCCAGACCAGCTTCCCGGCGGACCACCTAGTCGTCAGGTGGAATTTTCTATTGATCTTATCCCTGGAGTCGAACCCGTTTCTAAGGCGCCGTACCGAATGGCACCTAAGGAATTGCAGGAGTTAAATACCCAAATTCAAGAATTGCTGAATCTCGGTTTTATTCGACCGAGCGTTTCTCCTTGGGGGGCACCCGTTCTCTTTGTCAAGAAGAAGGACGGATCCATGCGTATGTGTATCGACTACCGGGATCTTAACCGGTTGACGATCAAAAATAAATATCCGCTTCCCAGGATCGATGATTTAATTGACCAGTTGAGGGGTGCCTGCGTGTTTTCCAAGATCGATTTGCGTTCAGGCTACCATCAGCTGAAAATCAAGGAGTCAGACATTCCCAAGACAGCGTTTCGTACGAGATACGGTCACTTCGAGTTCGTGGTTATGTCGTTTAGCCTCAGCAATGCCCCGACAGTATTCATGGACTTGATGAACCGTGTATTTCATCCTTTCCTTGATCAGTTTGTTATTGTACTCATTGACGACATTCTTATCTATTCCAAGAGCCAGAAGGAGCACGAGGAGCATCTGAGGGCCGTTCTTTCGACCCTTAGACGAGAGAAGTTATATGCAAAGTTCTCCAAGTGCGAATTTTGGCTTGAGCGAGTGGCTTTTCTTGGTCATATTATTACTTCAGCAGGTATTGAAGTTGATCCTTCCAAGATTGCCGCAGTTCAGAACTGGTCAGCACCGAAGAACCCGTCCGAGGTTCGTAGTTTCCTCGGCCTTGCAGGTTATTATCGCAGATTTATTGAGGGGTTATCGAAGATTGTCCTCCCTTTGTCTCAGCTGACGAGGAAGTCTGTGAAGTTTGAATGGACTGACCGTTGTGAGTCGAGTTTTCAGGAGCTGAAAAGGAGGCTTACGACGGCACCGGTGTTGACTATTCCAGATCCTTCTCGGAGTTTCACCATCTATAGTGATGCTTCGAGGCAGGGTTTGGGGTGTGTACTTATGCAGGACGGCCAGATTGTAGCTTATGCTTCACGTCAATTGAAGCCTCATGAACAGAATTATCCTACCCACGACCTGGAGTTAGCTGCAATTGTACATGCACTCAAGATATGGCGGCATTATCCTTATGGTGGTCGATGTGAGATTTACACCGATCACAAGAGTCTGCAGTATATTTTCACGCAAAAGGAGCTCAACATGCGTCAACGACGTTGGTTGGAGCTCGTTAAAGACTATGACTGCACGATTCAGTACCATCCGGGGAAAGCCAATGTTGTAGCCGATGCCCTGGGCCGGAAGGTAAAGGGTGACTTGACTTATGTTGTTACTCAGCAGTTTCATCTTATTCATGAGTTCGCCCGGATGCAAATCCAAGTCGTCGATTCGCTTCCTGCAGTGATTACAGGGAGTGTTAGCTCGATGCAAATTCAGCCTATGTTGAGGGACAGAATCCGGCAGGAGCAGGCTCACGATCAGTTTGTTCGTGCTATTGAGGCCAAGCTTCAGACCGGAGGAGTCGAAGGTTTTTCCCGAGGCGCTGATGGCGCTTTGGAGTTCCGAGGTAGGATTGTCGTGCCAAAGGTCGAGGCCTTACAGAATGAGATCTTGACAGAGGCACACACCGCCTTATCTAGCTCACCCCGGCAGCACTAAGATGTATTACGACCTAAAAAGGTCATTCTGGTGGCGAGGGTTGAAGAAAGACGTAGCCAACTTTGTGAGGAGATGTCTTACCTGTCACCAAGTCAAGCCGAACATAAGAGTCCCTTGGGCCTCCTACGACCACTGCCTATTCTGAAGTGGA